GGCATTCGTGGTAGTTGGAGTATGAAAAAAAAAATTTATTTTTATCGAAGAGTGTTAATATACGTAGTCGTGCCATAAGTTCTGTCCCATGATAATCTCATGATAAAAATGAAACAAGATAAGATATATTTATATGAAAGATATTATTTATTCGACAACATTTTTAGAATTCATAATCAAACAGTTTTATTCAAAATGTCCCCCCTTGGCCTTCACACACTGCTTCAATCTCGCGGGCCACTCATCTATCACTGCACGCACAGCTTCCAAAGGAATAGCTGCCGCTGATCGGATCAAATCCGCTTTCAGGGACTCGATATTACGGTGGGCTTTGGAGCAGGCCAACTGCTCTAGCAGGTCCCACAACTTGTAGTCTAAAGGATTGAGGTCCGGACTCCCTGAGGGCCAATCTTCCGCAGCAATGAACTCTGGCACATTGCTTTCCAGCCAGCGCTGCGTACTCTTAGCCTTGTGAGCGGGGGCGGAATCCTGCTGGTAGACCCAGTGTTGGTTGGCAAACAATGTACCACTTAAAGGCTTGACGATAGGATCCAGTATGTCGCTCTGATAGTTTGCCGCTTTTGTTTTCACGCCCTGTTTACAGAAATGGAGCTGAGTGACCCCTTCGTAGGACCCCCCCACCAAACCATGACTGACGCAGGGTGGTGGCCTCTCTCAACTCTCGGAATGATCTCCGAAGCTTCCTGTGAACTCCTTGCATACACTTTGTCATTTTGTCGGTTGAATTTTTCTTCTATGGTGAAGATTTTCTCATCCGTGAACAAAATCTTTCGGAATCCCCCAGCTGCGTACCTCTCCAAGAGCTTCTTGGATCTTGTCGCCCTGATGTGTCGCAAGGTGGCCGTAAGTCGCTGGCCCGTACGTCTCCGGTAAGCCCCTAGCCCTAGGTCTTGTTTAATGATGCGCGACATCGTCCGGACAGGAATCTTCATTTCCCTGGATAGGATCTTCTGCTTCCGGAGTGGATTCCTTTGAATCCTGGCTTTTACGGCTTTGATGGCTGCTGGAGTCCTTACTTGACGAGGTCTTCCGCTTCTTGGCCTGTCATCAACAGAGGACGTCTCATTGTACCGCTGAATGGTCCTAGACACAAATTTACGCGATATTTGAAGGCCGCGTAAGAGTTCAAAAATCTGACTAGCACTGTGATTACACTTATGTAAAGCTATCACTGCAATACGGTTCTCTGCCTTGCCCCACTCCATCGTTATGCTTCGAGAGATCAATACAAACTGAGGTATATGTAATTACCCGAAAAGCGCTTAATCAACTGACACCACAATGTAAACAATCGGACAAGTATTAACAGGTCTACACTTGTTTGAAAACGAGGGACAGAACTTATGGCATGACTACGTATTATAATCATCGTCGTCGCGAAATGACATGTACATCAACATTATGCGTTTACCTGGACAGTTGTAAGGTAATTCTGATTTATGTCATTCCTGTCCTCGACAACAACATTGAAAAATGCAAAATATTGGGGACACACCAATTTCTTTGATGGATACTGAAAAGCGCCAGCCAAAACTTTAACATTGCGTCTAATCTACTTTAATTTTAAATCTAAAAGTTCTCAGGAAATGTATTCCGCTACGCGTTATAGTTATTTTAAATTATAAATATGGTGCCACGAGATTCTATTAAGCTCAGTATGCCCCAAAAAGAGCTATGAATATAAAACTACTTCCTAACCTTATCGGATAAATATGGTGACAATGGCATAAATATCGGATCACAACTATTCAGAAAAACATATTAGGATTCAAGCAAGTGTACATACACACATTTTATTAGATGCGAAAGATTTTAACGATTGCAGCGTGCATAAAGTTAATTAGATCAAGCCTATTACAGCTACTGAAACGGAAATGAAACGTTTCTTAAACTAAGGCTTCCTCCTACTTCAACGCATGCAACATACTAGCCACTAAGAGAAGTTGAAAGTCAGAACTTTATTATATCCCAAACTTTTTACTCCTCCCATCTATAACTGGGGTACTATCGAATAAATTGTTTTTACTACGGATGTGCACACTAGGTCGTTAAAACACTAAATTACGAGAGTTCCACCGCACAAAACAACATTATTTAATCGAAGTTTATATATATATATATATATATATATATATATATATATATATAAATACATTATATATATAATGTATTGTAATTTTTGATTTACGCATTTTCTGATCATGTTCTTGTCTGTTTTTTTTCCTAAAGATAGCATAAATTTCTGTATTGTGTTACCAATCGCTAACTGATTGGTTGAGTGTAAGAGTAGCGAATGCTAAACTAGTCTATTTCCAAATAAAGGCGACTATTATTATTATTACTAATTGTCTCACCATTTCATAAACAATCACAGAAAACGGAATAAGATACCGGGAAATATTTTAAAGCAAAATAGAGCAAAATATGTCTTTCACCTACATAAATTTTGAGAAATGTATGTTTGTATCGATATATTTATACTTAGTTGAACTCTCATTATCTTCTGACTAGGTTTCAACTGCACCTACAAAATCTCTGTACTCACAATCTTCATACGTGTGAACTAAAGATGACAAAATTCCTTTCTTTTTTTGTAGAAAGTCAATTATGTACTATGCTATTTTTTCAAGCATAACATCCGGAATTCTAGCGCGTAAGGGTACAAACTACCCTGCACTTACTGGGAAACGTACAACAAAAGGTTCCCCGATTAGCCGGGTATTTTCTTTTCCCTGCCTACTAGAGCGAACCTCTTTTCAAAAATATATCGGAAATATTGCAGCACAATGCTCGTGTGTGTCTGGCCGCAAAAATAATGACAACCTAAATATACGCGGCGCTGGGGCGCTTTTGGGCGGGGTCGTTGACATACGGAAGGGCGCGCACACCGGAAAATCCCTCGTCGAGGGTCGTTCGACCCCCCGGGGTAGCTGTTTTCACATTTAAATCCTACTTGCCACCTTGAAGCCCCGACCTACCTATGATTTGTCTTACAGATTTAGGGATGAACACAGCGCCGTACACAAGAATCTGACTTGGTCAAAAACCAAGCATTTCTCTCCAACGATCTTGGAACCGGGTTCTTGAAGTACTGGTTATCTTTATTTACATTTTTGAGAGCAAAAAAGTTTTCGCGAATCCAAATTCCTGACCATTTTATTGGTTGCCCATTTTAAAGCAAAAAATATAAAAAAAATTAAGTTTTGGGAACTGCAGAAAGTTTAGTCTGGCAATATTTTGTCTTATAACGCGATCATATTTTTTGTAATGAAATGCGAGAGTGACATTGCTCAAGAATCCAAAATGAGAGAAATGGCAGAGCATTGAAATTTTTCTGATTCTTCACCTGATCTATGAATAAATACCCCTAAAAATAACGGACAGAAGTAACTTGGAAGAATTTTATAATAGGTTTTAAAATATCATAGCTCATCGTAATCTTGGTTGAAAATATGCCGCCACCCATGTCCATCCGAAATGCAACAAGTTTTGTTCAATTTAATTAGATGTTCTTCTTTCCTCAATCCTCACGTGTAAGCACGATACAAAACGGATTATGAATATATTAAAAGATTAAATGGGGACGTTCAACAAGAGGCTTAATTTTTTGTTTGTGTATTTTTTCCTGTGGCTATTTCATGTACTCGTAATCTCACACATATTTAAATTGCTAAGGGTGCAAAATTTAGCCAATGCAAGTAATAAAATTGAACTTTTACACCATTTTTCTATGAAATATATTCTTTTTAGCGAAATTAAAAATATGGAAAAATCAGCTTTTCTAAGAACAAATACAAAGATCAAATAAAATGCCGTTTTTGAAAACGACATTCAATTTTGAATGGTTTTCAGATTGCAAATAACCCATTTTCCTCCGGAATCTGTAGTTGCTTCTTTACGATGGGCGACAAGTTTTTATGGCATTCCACATTTTCTCAACTTCACGGAGTCACGTGTGCCACCAGCTTTCAAAGTAAGCAAAATCGCAACGAAATACGTTAACAAACATATCGGATTATCACTATGTTCCATGGATTTCTGTCTCAGCAGTTGAACTTCCGTTACATTGTTTTGGTATTAAACATAATTATGTCTATAAATGTGCAATTCCTATGATATGACTGAGACGACTGTAGACGAGCAATCCACACCGTGCGATCCCAGTCGTTCAGTTGAATTCCTATGGCGCAAGCCCTGAGGTTAAACTTCAGATAATTTATTGATAATGACTCAATAAGACAAGACGACCAGTCGCTACGACTGTAAGGGCTGAACTGCTCATAAGAACTGTCGAGCTGGCTGCCATTTGGTGCCTTTTCTAACTTTACATAAAACCTAAATTCTCTTAATGTGCCGTTTATTACAAATATCCAAAAAATGGATGAGGATGAAGATCTTGAACTAATTATAGGAGTTCCAAGGACAAAAAATGAAGCTTACATAGTATTTCTTGTGTTGATAATTTTAATGAATTTGTTTTAATCATGATATTAGTAGTAATAATTCTATAATCATTCCATTTCAGGCCAAATAATAGCTGTGTGGTTAACATTTCAAAAAATAATAAATTATCTCAAATTCCAGTATAGCCTATGAAAAACTAATAATTTTGAATTTTACCCCAATAAAGGCCATGTTACGACAACAAGCCATGTGATTCTCTGTTCCAACATAATAGTTCTGAACTGTACTCAGCCCGAGCATGCTCAGAAAAATAATTCGGCATTAGTTCGTAACTGCTTATTGGAACAAACATATAGGAAAGGGTCCTATTCATTTCCTGACAATAGTAATAATTCATCGCCGTGCCGGAGGCAGTCGTTGCATAGGAATCCTACCTTAAGCAAATCTAAGAATTACGCGTATAGTTGAGGGATAATTTGAGACAAGTCCATGCAATAATAAGGTAGGGTGACTCAAATGTATCTGCGAGGCTAATAAGATTTTTAAAATTCAAAATACGTTTATATTTTTCTTACCAGACTGTCCGGACTTAGATTACGACTTACCTGAAATAAACAATTAGAATTTATATAAAATTCGATGCAGTGATCTACATCCAACGTAAATAATAATGATGTAGTTGCGATTGTGTGTAGTAAATAAAGGAGGTTCCACACTTAAACGAATGTAGCCCGCAGACAAAATGTGTGGCATTTTATTATTGCGTATTACACATACATACATAATAAATATAATATATAATTTGAATATTTCATCTGACAGCTACATGAAGGCGGTCAGTATGTTTCTACGTACTAACGTTAATTTGCAAATAGCAGACGATGGCATCTAGCTTGTCGGTTGTTTTTAAAATCCATAATAATTCATGATCCATGTATTTATTAACTATAAATAACCTATATCCTTTATCCAAGTAATATTCAACTTGAGACGCAGGTTCTATGACCTCCTTGCGTAGGTTGACCAGTAACTGGTTGTTGTCTCAACTATTACACATTCAGATCAGCGAGCCAATTGATTAGTACGTATGGAGTTGGTTCATAGGCCAGCCAAATTAGGTTGTTCATTAAACCTCTGAATATAAAAACTGATAAAGTTAAAACTTATCCAAATTTCCCAGCCTAAAAGTTCGGTATGAGAACCAATCCTATGTATTTGAAAGTTCACATACAATATCCATCGTCACAACCGTGTTGCCTAGTAGGAGCGCATTAGTTTTTTTCAAAGTAATAAAAAACGGGCCCCATTTTCATTAGCCTTCCAAGAAATGATTCCCAAGGTTTTGTATTCTCAGAATTTCTCAATGCCGCAAAAGAATATCGCATAACCTGCAGCAAACAGTCTAAGTCACAAAGGTGAAACCCAATAACGGTGGTCACAACGTATATAGTTGTAAGCATAAGTGGTTGCGGCACCAGAGTAAGTATACTTATTTTCGTGCAAGCGCCGATTTTAATTATTTTATTGGGTATCTTACAGAACTTATCAATCCATGATAATCGACAATTATACTAGTTTGCCTAGAAGGGGTTTACCAAATCTGGTCTAAATAATCTGGGACCTCATGTATCACAGGAAAAATGTGATTTGATGCGATTTTGTACCATTTATTTGGTTGTGCCATTTTTTTCAGCTACGTCATCGTCAGTATGGTCAAGTTTTCCTGTAGAAGTTGTTACACACGAGCTTTTCTTAAAGTATCTTGCACTGCAGTGTTATCGGCAAGCATTGCAGTTAACATGCCTGATGGTGAAAATAGGTCTGCAGTGAAAATTAGACATACCATGGGACTTAGTTCTTGTCCTTGCTTGCCATATACGTATCTATTATCAAGACTTCAGAATTATAAAAATTCTGTATAGGGAAACAGAAAAATCGAGGAATATTTTGCAAAGTACTAGCAGCGAAGCAATTTCCAGACGAGGATAAAGGTGGTCCTGCTTAGGAATCTACTATATCTTGACTGCGATTCCTGGACTATTGAATCTCATCTATATTAGGTCACTTCAAAAGATGTTATTAAAGAGTTCAGACATGCTAAATGATTTTTTAACATACAGATATGAACCTATAACGCAATTTGTATTCGTAATAATCAGGTGCGATGACCTGCAGAATTTTGCGATGTGGAGATATGTCGGTTTCAAAGCGAGCGCAAAGACCCATTCCATTTTTTTTATGTACGTATATAAGCATCAAGGTACGCGTGATGGTTACATCATACTTCTCAGATTGGTGAATTCGGTTAAGATTTGATGTAAGGTGGACGCACCCGAACTTCCTTTCTCTTCATCCTTTGCGAAAGGGACATTGGCCGTTGGGTCATGCTCACGCATCATCGCTAATTCATACCCGATGGCGGATGGGTTTGTATTCCTTGGGAGCTGGTCATATGTAGACCAGTAAAAATGGTTGTTTTTGTAGAATTATTATAATGAACGTTTTCAACAACTTTGTCGAACTTCAAACCATCTCTAATCGCTCTCTTAGAATACCAAATGAACGAATTATTATTTTTATATTGGCGAGTTTTAGCAAGGTGAAACTGTCCCGTTTACGAATGATATTGAATGAATGGCATTTCAAATCGCAAAATATTTTTCACTATTTAGTGACTTAGTTTATTATTAAAAATGCCAGTCAACCGTAAAAACATTCCAAATCTGAAAGTTTTATTATTATTTGCAAACTACGTTGTTTAGAATGAATATTTTTCTATCTTAACCATGAACTTATACTGTGTTTTTATGTTACTATATATTATTTATATACTTTATTTGCCCAGTCGTTCATGCTTGCTGCCAGTCTATAAAATCAAATTTCCCAATGGAAAAAGCAAACAATTCCTACCGGTCTTTCACTGGAAAAAATCCGTTTCCACAAAGTAAGTTTTAATCTGAAAACAAACTTTGTTATCATCAGTACACACACATTTCCAGAAACGTTGGCGGATAATATGAGAGAGCACGGCAAAATTCGCATGAATGAAATGAATGAATTGAAAAGATAGGGGTGGATTCGGGTTATTGTTTAAGCGTCTTTAGAAAAGAGCTTTTTGTTTTTCCACAGACAAATATCTATAGCCATGGCTATCTAAGCAGCAGAGTAACAATAAATTGTGTCGTTCCGCGCGTTTGTAGCTTTGTGTCCAGTTACAAGCAAACATTTTTGATTTTCAATCTGTATATTTTTCGCACATCCTAAAGCTTATTTTATTTTGTTATAGTAAGATCGTATGTAAGACTTTCCAATTCTGATGATGGCCATTAAAAATGTTGTAAAATGTTGTCTGATCGTCGTAATGTTAATTCATGGGTGAAGTTTAACCATGTGTGATTGACAAAATGCCACAATGTACAACATCCCACCTTTAGCCTCTCTTTTTGAAATCACCTTTTCTGAATTCCAAATACTGCATCTGAATAAAAATACATTTAATTAATAGGGCCCATTGTTCCATATGAGTTAGATATTTGGAAAAGGGAACTCAGAATCTGAAAAGTTCAAAGTACCTAGATCAAAAATGCACCTCTGTCCACAAATCGCTTTCTCATGGTGTGTGCGCGTTGTTGCGTAAAGCGTGATGCAATTTTTAATTTCAAAGGTGAACTGCATCGCGCGGGCCTGTGCATATTTTCCGTTTCTGTCTACGGTCGCACGAGAGAGATAAACGCAAGGTCGAAAAAGCGGGAACCTATAACATTTTACCGTTTCGGTATGTCATGCTCGCGATCTAGTGAAATGCTCTTGCTTCCGATCTCCTTCCCCGCGCGTCTTACCTATGAGTTTCTCCTATACCGGGCGATTCAGCAAGAGACAGCTTTTTTGAAAGTATATGAATTTTTGGAAAAGCGGAACTACCAAATTTTCAGAGAGTGGAGGGACTTATCCTGAAAACCATCAATATTGTATGCACAAAGCCATGCTAAATATGAAAATTTCAAGATCCCAGCGTGTTCTCAGAAAGGGTCACACCCCTCCCCCTGCGGACGCCTATGTTAATAAACTGTGTATACTAACAAATTACTCTTGTTACTGAACTAAAATTATAGTAACATTTGTATGATATTTATATTTCAATATTATTAATTCATTGACAAATGTTTGGGCGGGGCAAAACTAGAACAGTCAAAATGAAAGTCATAACACTTCTTAGGATAACGAAATAAACAAAATACTTCATAGAAAAAATGTTACAAAATGTTACAAATGACGAAACTGATTCAAATTAATGTACATACTATACTTATTTGATACTCAGTGATTTTGATGATTGGTACCGATTTCAAAGATAACACATACTTGAACATGATGTTTTAAGAGTGATTTCTCAATAATGAAATCTAAGTCCAGATAAAACCAATTCCACCAAATTATAACTTAAGGGCTTGATAAGTATTAGAGTGTTAAATAACTGAATATATGTATGTGAGATGAAATTGTTAATGATTATTATCAAACCATCAACCTTGGAATTTCACGATTGATATAGCATCTATTTTTAACACAAAAGACATAGATTTTCTAATGTGGGGTTAGTAAATGCCTAATATAATGTAATAAGCATCAGGATATTTATTACTTTGTCAAGAATTCATTTCAAAGAAAATATTTACATCCCTTTAAAATCAAAACACTAGTATATAAGAAACAATAAAATGTGGAAGAGTGATTCAAAATCGACTGAGCTAATCACAACCCATTCTATCACGAATTAACATGATCCTAAATAAACCTATATACAATTATACATAAATGGTGTTCCTTACTTAAATGAATATACTGAAATGGCAGGTAGTAGTACTACGGGCCGAGACCTTTCCATATCTAAAAATAAAAAGTTAAACAATCAGTTTTCAGAGATATATTTTACGAACGTACGCCAAATCTTTAATATCACATACCTTCTAGGAGTAAGCTAAAACTAGTTGGACGGTTGTTCAACCATCCGTCTAGTTTTACATTACTCCTAGGCAACTTTGTTATCGTAGAAAATTTCAACAAAATCGGATCAGTAATGCATGTGATTTGTGTGATATCAAAGATTTGGCGCGTTTATATATATCTACATGGGTAAAAACTGGATTAACAAGTTTTTTATTTTCGGCATGGGTAAAACGCAAAAAAAAACCGACGAAATGCCATCTTGCAGACTAGGTGGTTTTAGTGTGCAAATAGTTCCATGTACAGCTTCAAAACGAGTTCACAACAAGTGTATAACAGTTTGTGCTAAGTTAACCTGTTGTAGAAAAACCTGCGATATGTCACAAACAACCTAAGAATTGTCAAAAAACCGACGAAATGTCACTTTTCAAGATACGTAATACCCACACGGGTATTATGTAAAAAACCAATAAAACGTCAAAAAACAATAAAATGTCATCTTGCAGACTAGGCAGTTTTTAGGGTGAAAATAGTTCATTCCACGATTGATCGCTACGACCGCTGTGAGCGTCATCTATGTAGCCGAGTAGTCTGTAGTTTTCATCTCCGAGAAGTTGTGGGAGAATAGCGAGATCGCATCTGGATGATTATGTGTATTGGTCTGCAAGTGTATAAAATCTGTGATATTTGCTGTGTGAGAAAATTATTGCTGAAAATGCTGTCAATGAAGTATATCTTTTAGCTGTGCCCGACGGGTTATTTATGTTGACCTTTCTGAAGACAGGTTATGTTCAAAGTTATTAATCACGATTTTTCCTATTTTTGTTTTTGTGTTTTTTCAAAAACTTTGAGGAGCACTACGAGAAATCGCGGCCGCCTTGGGCGCAATTAAGCCACACCACAGAAAAATTAGTAATGCCGCATCACACATCAAATATTTTCGCAATGCCTCATAAGTAGGTGATTTGTATTTTCTAATGACATCGCAAAAAAAAATCTATAAAATTTAAATGACTGGAAATTAAAAATACACGTATGTAATAAATATTCCTGTCGGTAGCATATATTCTCACCTGTTCCTTCACCAGACAGAGATTTTCTTTTTTTATCTCTCATTTTTTAAATTCAGCAAATTTGCATATGTAATTTCCAAAATGGATAAGAAAAAGTGGATGCGCAACTAATTTCTAGCTTTGAATCTCAAGTAAGTGTATTTGAGACAAGAAACATATTATTAGCACACAATCCTCACTATGTACCTATGTATTGTCGTTTCCTTATAGCTATAGTATACAACTTACTGCTTAGACCTCCAGCCATCTCTGAAGCACATTTTACATCACATCAGAGCCAAACGTTGATAACTGAAGCACCATGACGTCTAGGCGTCACGTACAATTACAAAACGAGTTCCAAGTGTCCATCAGCTAGTCATAACATCTTGTAGAAAAACTTACATAATGTCACAAAAAACCAATACAATATCAAAAAACTCGACATAATGTCACTTTTCAAGAAGATACGTAATACCCGTGCCGTGCGGATGTAAAAAGGTATCAGTCCATACCACATACCACTTCACTATGTCCATTTAAGTACGATTCACCCTGTATATCCTTGATGTCAAAAATATGTGTTTATTTCGAACTGACAATCTAGTGCATAGCATTGGACGCATTTTTTCTGTAAAATGCATTACGCACGTCAGGAATGTTTCATTGAATTATAGAAAGGTGTGTATTTATTTTGTACTATATGTACTCCGTACATGGTGGCAGCCACTTATACCTGATTTTTTGTTTCGCGCCTTTTCTCCACGTGTTTTTAAGCATTTATACTAGCTTCGATTTTATTTATTGTTATTTATATATTATATGGATTTATTTACTTTACAATTACAAAGTTTATTGGTTAGTTATAAATACATTGTAGACAAAACCTTGGTACACGGACTTTCCAAATAAGGCTCCAACATCATATGGCATTCCACGTGATTCTAATTCTAATGAAAAACGAAATTTGCAGATGATGGCGATAAAATAAAACTTCAAGCCCCATTTACGTCCCATCAAAACAAACATGATCATGATTCGCATATCGCAGACAGCTCGCGAATTTGAACTTCGCGCGATGGTGTTTCTGTAAATGGGGTTTGAATACCTTACAGTGAACACAATCCTGGAAATGTTTCCCCTGAGTTTTTTACACCTTTCCTCTATTGTAACAGCTCCCCCAGCGAGCCAATAAAACTCGATCACTTGAGGAAAACTCATGAGAGTAACCAAAAACTTTATGCCGTGAAGGGGATGTAAACGACAGACATATATATATATATATATATATATATATATATTGAAGTTACTTGAAAATTACGAAACAATTATCCCATAATGATCCACAAGTAACTACATGAATCATAATCAACCGCTTGGGAAAACGTTCGCTTGGAAACAACCGATGCAAACAGTGACAGTAACCTATATTATAGCCAGAACCAACTAATAAGCGGAAAGCGATTATATTTGTGGACGTTCGTGGCCTATTGTAGAGGTCAAATCCTTTGTATATCCCCTGATTTAGAATGTAACTAGTAGTGAATCGGCTATTGTTATTTTTTACTACGTTAGTGTCACGTGTACTGACACATACCATGATCTATATTTACCAAAATAATCCCACTTGGTTTGTTTACAACTAAGAGTATCTTTATATTTTCGTTTCGGTACTGTTAAAATGTAATTCAACGTGAGGTATGATTTGGCATGTTCATTTAAATACGCTCAATTCTGAGAGGAATTGACGGGAAACACATATTTTAGTTCCTATAAAATGTCAGTGATTGAAACAAAATAATTAGATAAGCTTGGCAGTTAGATCAAGTGATTTCTGATACTGCAGCAGTTCGTGGGACTTCACTACTTGTATCATATCAGTTATCAGGTCTGTCTGATAACTCGGGACTTGCATTTTTTGGGATGAAAGGCAAGGAAAGATTAAGGAAGAAGGGGAGAATACCTTATACGGGTGCATGTGAGTTCTATGAATGCTAAAAAACCTTCTCAAGGGCTGGTATTAACGGCCCAAGTAAGATTCGTGACTCGCCTATTACCTGCCTCTCGGCGATTCAGATAACCATCTTCATTTTTGTATTAACCTTCATTGTGAAAACAGATGTTATTACATTGAACCTTTGCTATACAAATTTTTCTGATAATGCACATGATGATATACCAGGAGTGTAAGAATTGTGTGGCTGCACATTACGATACTATGTTCTTGGCATTGAAATAAGTATCCCAAACGGCTAACTTCAGTGTATTAAAATTATCGGCTCTCTCTTCTACTTGTACCAAAACTGGTGGCGTAAAATTCAAGAATTAGAGGTGAAAAGAGGATATACACACACAAATCGTAACGTAAGAAGTTATTATATTTTGGCATTTTGTTTTTGAATTCAGCAGTTGTGGTTGATTTGTTCAACAATAAATCGTTTTATTTACCTGGACTTGACGAACGAATTGTAGTTTCCACAAATATACAAATTTCAATTATATCAGACGCGGCAGTATATTTTATCCACCCATTTGGGCTAGTAATAGTAACAATACTCGTCTCTACAGATCCATGTTAGATCCAATGACTCCTTTTATCATTCGCAACCACATATTTAAAATTTTTTAAATCTTTTCTTAGTTATAGGCAGAAATTTATGTCGAAGATAATTTCAACTGGGAAATAGATAAAATTGAAGCGCGGATATATCACTGAGAATATAAACATATCGATCAACTAGCAGATGGATGAGTGTAAAAACGGAACTTATAAAGATTCTATAGATTATTATAGATAAGTGTTCAACTATATAAATGGACCTTAAAAAAATACTTCACACATAAAAAGCATATTATTTCCTACGCCACTGCGCGAGATACTAGGGTGATCCCGAAAAATTTCGAAAATGCGCTACCTACTATGGTTTTTGAATGTTATATAACATGTACACATCATGTCACCTATTTCCGTCAGTATATCGGTCTCTGTCTGTCCGGTAATATTTGGGCCGCCTATAGTAGCTTTGTAGTTTTTGAAAACCGTTGAAAACTTCGAATGATAGAAAAATGTTTTCGATCCGTGCACTCCTGCTATCTAAGCTCACCGCCGAGCGTATCGGTTCGGCTGACTAATATGCACCGCACAAAAGGAATAAAAGACAACTCGATGTAGATGTGCCGTGGTGGGCGCTACCAAGTAGATATGGAAAGGTACAACATTGCCAGATGGGCAGTAACTACCGTTAGGACAAGGACTGCGAACTACTACTAAACTACCTGTTTGACTGACTTGATCCTCCTATGTCTCTGTTGTACGGGGATGCGTGAGGAGCGCAGAGTCAACCTACTGAACGCCATTTATTTCCATTCTGTGGAAGAATTCACAAGTTTTTAATCCAGCTACCCTTGTCGAGGCAGAACTCGTTATAGGAGACTATTAACCAATTCTAAAAAACGTTCAAAGTTTCAACTTTGGCGCAGGTTTTTTCAGTATGTTATAATCTGGAATTAAGTTATCATAATATTACCACGTAAGATAAATAGCAATGTACGATAACATACATATAATAAACCAAATAGAAGCTGACGTCACGTTAACAAAACAGTGGTGCAAATCGAGCAACACTGTATAACCAAAGATGATTTACACATTTTCGTACTTCCATAATTAGTAACAGAATATTTATCAGTGTACAATGTATAATTAAAACGGAAAATATATTTATAAACTTTCAGACGCACAAGATTACATTGTACCACCAATTTAGGTGACAGCAACGCGCAGAATTAAAATCATAATAAGTAAAACCATATGATTTATAAAATTACTCAAAATGATATACAAGGTAATGTTTTCGGTGACAGCAGGTACGTCACAAGCATGTGAGTTTGGACAAATTTTAACGAAATGATGCGAAGCGTGTGAGATATAATTATTTCCGCGGCTAAAGAAAGTTCGCTATCCTAGCCGTACTTTGACCCTCACCTATTTATGAACTCGCAATAAATCACCACAGTTTCAACTCATAGACGCAGTAATTTTCCATGATTCATCGCGCTTTCCCAGTTTTAATGGGCGAAATTGGATATTTCTATACAAGGTGTTTCCGCTTATCATACATACACTTACAGGTACGTCGGGAATCCTCAAGTTTACCTTACGCCAGCGGCTCACAAAAAAAAACACTGCTGACAAGCCTTGAAAGGAAATGCCCTATTAGGTCAATTATCAGAAAAATCTTGGAAAACGTATGCTTTTATAGGAGTACCAAACATTATCATATATTTGTATGCTCAACTGCTAACGATAGATTTCAAATTATCTGGGTCTTGACGTCGATTCGATTCGTCGATTTTTATATGGGACCTTTGCCTTTATATAAATACTCACTATTTATTCTGTTCTGTGGCATGGAAGCCTGGCAATAAATGGTGCTCTCATGAGGACGCTAGAAGATTTTGAGATTCGGCTTTTTAGAAGACTGTTAAAAATACCGTAGACAGATCTTGTTTCCAACGAAAGCCTTGGACAGAATGGGTTATGATCGAGAACCGCAATTAATAGATGTAAAAAATATTTATGATAGATATTTAGAAACGAGAAATATGAATAGCCTCAGCTGATCGTGAAAGGCAAAAATTCTGGCTGAGAAATAAACGTGCCATTGAATTTGCTTTGGTCATAACTAACCTTCATAGTGAAGGCGGGACTGGAAGAAGTGACTACTCATTATCGTCATCAGCACGTTTGTCAGCCTGTCGGTCTGATCAACCACCATAAACCAGAGAAAGACCTGAAACTTAATGTTTTACAGTAAATTGCAGGAATAACGACCGTTCCACATTTCGTTGCAAGCAATTTTCTTTTTTATGTGCGGGTTGTATGTATGTAGTGTTTGGAACGTTATTATTTATGGACAAGTCGCCTCACCACAGTCATAACAATAAGGGATAATACAACTACTATGCCTAACAAGTTTCAATGTTTCAAGATAGAAGGAACTTTTTGAGTTTTTGGAGGTGAACTTCCTCGGCAACATTTCTCAAAGCTAAACGATATAGAACAGTAAATGTATACAGAGCTTCAATTTATGACGAGTTATGATCATAGTACATTAGCTAGTTTGAGGAGTGAGCCAAACGTGGTATGTGTAGAATTTTTTTCACTAGTAAGAATACATATCACAAGATATTCTATTTTACATCAGGATCATGACGTTTCCAACTCGTTTTACAAGTTATTTAAAATACCCAGTTGGCTGGTGTCAAACTGACAAACTCAAATTAATGAAGGTAACAGACAGCCAATTTGGTTTGGACTGGTCCAGCCAAGAGGAGTAAGGTACAAATGTTTACCTTCTGTTAACATTGGAGGCCGTTTTCTAACATTATCTCAAGAAGGATAACTACAAATTACAAATGTTTTTCTAATCATATTGAATGTGGTAATATAATAAAAATTCTACACACCTTCGTGGAGAATGCCAGTATTGTCCTCGATCAATATATCTCTCGGCGGTCGCCCAATAATGGCATATTTCGTCGCCAATGAACTATTTTCACACTCTCCAATCCACAATCCAAACTTGATGCTTTTAAAAACCCGCTAAGCACCAATGGTCACGTTTAAATGACCTCACGCATTTTATTGAGTTATCTGTTACATGTTCAAAAGCTTATTTTGTTGATACTACAAATTTCCACATTGATGCATTAGAAACATTACTGACAGGAGGTCAGATCTGTTAGTACGACATAATGGGTGTTGCAACGTACGATTTGATAAAACAAATAAATCTGATTACACCTATTTCAATGTCCTGTTGTGAGCACGTGTAACTCTGTCACTAATTGCAGAAACTTGTATGCTGTCACACGAATCGTTTCACACGCTCGTTCGGTCTCGTGATTCGTTTAAGCTCTATAGATGTCGAATTCACCTGTCATTTTCGATTGCGTAATCTTTCGATAATATACATATACAACGGGCTGCTAACACTATAGCTTGAAATGGAGATTGCTGAAGAGACGACATATACAGGGTTATTCATTCTGTCTGTGTCAAAATTCAACAACCTTTGTTTCCATAAACTACATTAGGACGTATGTTAATAAGAACTTTCCCTGTTATATATCACCTAGAATACTGCCGCCTTTTTTTATCATTCGCTAGAAATAATGAAATCTAGCGTTTTATTTGTAACATTAGAATTGAAGTTACCTTCTGTTATGAAATAGGGGAAAACTCTTACCAGAATAGGGACGTTTATGAACTTTTGAATTGTGATTAGGTTAGGTTAGGTTTCTTGTCAGTGCATCAATAACGATCTTAAACTGCGACCCTCTGGCTCACACCTATTTCTATTTCCCCCAGTAGCTCCGACCTCCTGAGGAAGTCAATCAACTTCTTTGGAGAAATATCCTTCAGTTCTTCTGCTTGGAATACATGCTGGACCGTTTCATCTCCCTCCATGCATAGTCTGCACTCAGTCTCTTCCGCCATGCCCAGCCTGCTCATGTGGTGACGCAATTTGCAATGCCCGGTGTACAGTCCTACTAGAGCTTTGAGGCTATTCCTGTTCAGCCGTAGCAAAGAGTCTGTAACCTTGTGTCAGCTGTCTCGTTTTCCTCTAGACCAGTGTGTCCTAGTATCCATATGAGACGGCATTTTTCCCTCCCCTATGCCACCGACAGCTTCTTTGCAATTCCACACTAATTTCGATGTCGAGTAGGTGGAGTCAAGTGCTTTAAGTGTGGCTTGACTATCTGAAAAAATAATTATAGTTCTGTGTCTCAGTTGCCGTTCTGCGATCATTCTGGCAACCAGTTCTATAGCATATAGCTCTGCCTGGAAGACCGATGTCCAGGTTCCTACCTCGGTCTTGGAGCCATCTGCGAATGCACATATCTTTCCTTACCAGGTTAACTTGCTGTTCTCACTTATTCCTGTGTGGAATTGTCACTGAGTAGGGTTCAGCATATCTTATTATTTTTGGCATTATATCAGAAGGCATACCCAGACTGTGGAGTTTTTGTAAGTCCACCAGTATGTCCGTCTCCTCCATAGTGATCTTGTCCATTATACCATTTGCCACATAATGTAGTCTATAAGATGTCCTTCTTGCCTCGCCTTACAGGTATATGTGCAAGGGGGGTAAATTAAGAAGGACCTCCATAGTTGCAGTTGATGTGGTACCAAAAGGCACCAGCTATCAACATAACAGCTTCTCTCTGTATTGCGCTGAGTTTGGCTTGGATTAAGCGTAAACATATTAAATGAGTATTTACCTGACTTACTAATTGAGAGTGGACTCAAATTACGCGTTAAGTAATTTAAATCGCGTTTAAATGTCAATCAACGTAATGTAGAAAGCTGCGATAGCTGTTTCAGAACTAAGTAGGAATTAGCTTTTACGGAGGATTAGCCAGGTGCATAATATAGTCTATAAAACGATAAACTGAAAATATCATTTTTCAGTTTATTTTCACTCATTATTAGAATATCAATCAATTAGATTATATGGACCGACAGAAGCAAAGTGACAATCTATAGCAATTTTCTGTTCGAATGCATTTGCATTGCTTTGTTGTTCAACAAAAATATTAAATTAAAATACAGTCTGCAATAAATGCGATTTATTATCAGCTAATTCGAACATACATGGAGATTTGTTATTTCTAATTGAAAATTGATTAACTTAGGCTCTCTACCTAACCCATATTTTTCCATATTAACTAATTAATGTAACTTTAATAAATCGTGTCAAGACGCTGTGTTTATTTTGCAAGTATTCTACAATCATTTCACAATAGAATAAAAAGCAGCCTCATCTGTCTTGTGTATTTTTAAAATATTCCTCTTTTTAAGCGCATATTCATTGTTTCCCTAAAAACAACAAATTCAGGTCTAATATAAGAAAAAACAGGTCCACTCACTAATAACGTGCAAACAAGAGGAAGCTGTAAAAGTAGGACTCCTATGTCCAATTGGTCAGATATGGTAAAACGTATAGCTTCGAAGATGGGTTTTATATATTTATATAATCATTGTGTCGGGGTAGCAATTCAAACTTTTCATACAGAACAAACAGCACATCAAAATAATAGAAAAAACAATAGAATCCCAAAAAAGACCAGCAGATGATATAAATTCGCGCATTGTGAAGGATGTTAACATACTCCTGTTTTACGACTCGGTCATAAAGTAAGTGGTGTTCAATTTTCGTATGGCCTCTAATTTACATCATTAAAAATATACTGCTCTTGACCTTGTAGACTCCATTTAGCTCCACAATGTCGATCAATGGCAAATTTTTTTACATGGTGCAACGAACTATGAATACTCTGGCGGATATTTGGTCACAATACACTTGCGCTCAAAAGTATGGAAGTGACACAACCAGTTATCAGCATCCAACTAAATGATTATCATTTAATCCGCTGTATCGTAACATCAAACTAGCAGTTAAATCCGCTAAAGTATGGGAACATATAGTACACATACAATAAACAGTTTGATTGAACTGAGTCTTTTTATGAAATATGAAATCAAAATAGTATCTTTACGACATTTTTTTTCTTTTAGATATGCTCATAATTATATCCTCTTCATTTTTTAATAAAGGAATTAACTAATAGGATTTGATATTTACTGCTCAAGCGATAACTTGTGAAAGTGTATCTGTCCCTCAGGATGGGAGATGGGCAAATCCTTAAAACTGTACTGTACTGTAAAGTCCCCTCCTGCTGGAGCCCATGGTTTTATCTGACTTTTAAATTTTTTTTTTGAAATATTAGAAGATTTGTTCGGTTAAAGTGTTGAAATAATTGATTCCTATATTTTGAAGACAGCTGTATCCAACCACATACTCATACCCATTATGTAAAAAGTCGACATTGAAGATCGACAGGTGCAAACGAACTGCCAATTTGGAATCGTCTTGGCGGAATATTTCTTATTGATTATTATAAACTATTTAAATGTAGCAATACTAATTGTTAAATTATTTAATAAATTTTATTTCCTGCCATTTACTATAAATTCATTTGAAATGTGACAGTAGTTACATAGTAGTCATAGAACAAATCGATTTGATGGGAAAATCTGACACAATCGAAAAGATCAGAAGCACTTGCTGAAAATTTTAAAGCTCTAATTCCAAGTATAGTTCTGATTAGACTACAATTAAAAAAAATGTTTTTTTTTCTAGTACGAGTATACCTACCACCTTCCGGTTTCGTTATGATTTGATGTGTAGGAAGTAGGTATTGATTTTAATATCTGATTTCTGGTAAAGTGAGCGCATAAACAATTGAAGGGCCAAATTAGTGTAACGACATCATCAATATTTTCACACCATCCAATAAATCGATAGCGTTATCAGCGTTCTTCCTAGAAATATATTTACGCCGATAATTTTTGGTATAGACTTATGTAAAGGTTATCTATACTCGTATCGTGTCCCATAACACTTTAACGAATTTTATCTTTTTGTCGTCTTCGAATGCTTTTATTCTGTAAACACTGATAAAAGGTACGCATATTTTGATAAAATTTTAGACGTTGTGTGGATTCAGGAAGCTCTGTTATAATTTTCGACAATTTTAGAATTCATTATTTTGAATAGTTTGAAAATATACATTTAAAGATCAATGTTATCTAGTAGTGTCACATCTATATAGCTACCTCAGGGAATAATACAATAGTACATTTATGAATCAAAAGATTTTTGAAACATCGCTAGTAATGCATACGCTATTATTAAGTTAGTTCCAATTTATGAATTTTATGGTTCATTTTTCCTATTTTTCTATTTGAAATTCTGATTAATAATTATCCTAAATATTGCAAATAATTATCACGAATTAGAATTTTTTTACTCCCCACAAATGTACAATAAAAGCAATCACTCAAAGCAGTATTGATATGCATAATATGCCTCGAGGGAACTGGTCCTAAGATTGCAATTTGGAAAATAATTATCCTGACAGGGGAACAAGGACCCCCGAACTTTTTCTGCGTCCCAGACACTCTGACCCCTCCCTTCAGCTCGGCTCATCCATGGGTGGCGTAGTTGTCCATGGAATTCCCAGAGTATTTATAATGAAATTGTATTTCCAAATTACAAAACACTTTTATAAAATTAGGCATTGTACAGTCGGGATAAATAATAAATAGTGCGACGTTCTTTCAAAGTTGGGCAACATTGGTGGTGATTACGGTTGTCTTATAAAGGCTCTGAAAGACTGACTGAAACTCTAGATACACAGAAACCACAAAATCGTATCAACATAAAATTTTGTTAAAAATATGAACAAATTTTGAACCCCGTGGAAATAAAAAATCATTTATTCAGCGCTCATCTACAGGCTGTCCCAGTCCGAGTCTTTTTCAAAAGCATGTGCCTATCGATTTACACTGCAATCCCGAAAAAGTCCAACAAAAATCTAAAAGGTGATTGAGTGATCTGAAAAATCATATCCCGAAATTATTATATTTAAAAAATGCCGTGTCAAAATTAATAGTACTCAAACAAGACTATACTTCTCAAAACAGCTTCGTATTTTATCGAAATCAACGATGAGTACGGCAAAATCATTGGGCTTTACAAAAATAATTTATCATTATACGAGGTATAAGCATTTTTAGCATGTTGCGCTGGGGTTATTCCGTCCCTGGCGATGTAAATAAGTGAAGATCCAATCTCGTTGGATTATACCAAGACCGCCAACAACAAAAATAGACAACTAAATCTTACCCTCAATACCAACTAAAATATCCTTAGTATCATATTGTGCTGGCATGAATTCATATGGAATTTATCTAAAGACTTTTTCCGCGCAAAATATTGGGACGCCCATGCCAAGTCGTCTCGCCGCTCGGTGACGACCTGTCACGATGACTCTTCCGATACGAAGAGAAAAGAGCAATAAAAAAATTGCGAGCGATGTGAAAGGGGTCCTTGATAATATGGGTATAATACAGTTAGGTTGGACAAGGAATATGAACAAAAACTGCAAGTCAAATCGGATGATAATGTATGGCAATAGCTGATCTTTTTCTACCTTCGTAAGGTCATACATGACCCATTATTTTTCGATGGGTTTCAAGTGAAGAAGAAGAGGTGGGAAGATCCAAAAGTGCTGAGGGGTACCTTGCTCCAAGACAACAGAAACTCTGAGACAGTAGGAAGAAGATACAAACAGTGCCTGAATTTTTGATTAGCCACATGTTATTTAGAGCACACCAACTGAAAATATGCTCGAATGTAACAAGCTCCTTGTGCAAAATGTCTTTGATTGTTCTGACCTAGGCGATAAAAGTATCACCTGTTTGATGAATCAAGAGGAAAGGGCGCATTCAAAGGACTGCAGCAGTTCATTAGAATTAGGATCAAGTCAGCCAACCCCCCATCCCCAATTTTGTATCGCTCAATTTTTTTTCGACAATGATCGTCTCTAAAACGTCAAAAAACGAAGCTTGAGCAATCTTTATTTTTTTGTTTTTTTGCCTATGGGTCCGTCTACGTCACCACTGGAATGACTTCCAAAAACTGAAGTTTTTTCGCCCCAGTCGCAGTAATAACCTTGTATGAGAATTTGATCAAAATTCGAGGGTATTTTCCTATAGTCGGGCTAAGGCTGGCAGACCGACAAAATTGAGTAACACTGTTTTTCGTGACAAGATACGAACATCCAAAACACATAATATCTGAAAGTGTTTCGCGATTACAATAGTTCCTGAGAAGTGGTCTGGAAAATAAAGACTGTTGAGGCCAGAGTTTGCGAAAAAATGAGGTAAGTTGTAGATGAATTTTCGAATAAGTTGTACATGCTATTTTTACTTTTTTCTGGGAGAGTTCGTTGTTCAACTGGACTATGTCAGTTCTCGCGAAAACCGGACTGCGGTTGGGCCCCCGGATCCCCAGACGGTGCCCGTACTCGGACCGCCGCTCGGCGTCGGGCGGACGGTTTCATAATACGCCGTGCCCGGAGGCTGTTCGCGAGCTTTACATTCCGCGACAACTGCGGGGTTGCCAGATTTCTCGCCCTACAGGCTGTTAGCTGTCCGCAGACCGCCTGCCTGGCAAGCGCGCAAGATATTCGTGAATACATTTCATTAAGGAAACCGCAGAGACATTCAACAGGTTTTTTAATAACCGAACAGAGGTGCATAAATAAATGAATTAGAATTATGAGATGACGCGAAATCCTATAGTCAGCAGAACAGATGTATCACGTAGAAATGTTGGACATAGAGTTTTAACTTAGGTTCTTAGATGGATACAAATATCGTTTTTATGTTAAGCAAAATGGTTTATTATTAGGCCTGTTTTACATCACCTAACTCGCTACCGCATTAAGTGGCTGTGACTTACTCCAATTTTCTCTGACACGGAAGATAGTAGTATATCTCTCCATTGGAGGTCGTTTTAACGAAAATGTGCATATCTTCCCGGTGTTTTCATAGTGATTCGAATGTTTTTTGTTTTCATTTAAGTTGTTCCTTTGTACAAATATCCGAAGCTTATATTCAAAACATTATATCGATCAACTTTCATATCGAGGACAAAAGCGAAAGAGGAAATATCTCTTAGTTTACAACATATTTAGACAGCAGCGGTGGCGCAGAGGTAGACGTCATGGGTCTCCTAATCAGTCGCCGTGCGCTGCGTGGGTCCGAATCCCGACCCAAGTGAATTTTTCTCTTGACTGTGGATGTTGTTATTGTCCGTAGGTGGTAGACAACCTCTGACTGACGAACGCGGAGGTACCACCGGGCGGATCTCGTAGGCGGAGCCAGAATGTGCGCATGTTGCATGCACACGTGTTCCCTCGCCAGAGTCCGTGTGGCGTTCCCCCTTTCCCCTGTATCCCCCTATATATCCTCACGGTACCCAATGGGTGCTTAGGCCTTAGGCATTCGTGGTAGTTGGAGTTTAAAAAAAAATCAATTATTTATTTCGAAAATAATGGTTCTGTGCGGAATACGTATCGCGCACTACGTCCATTTTATCGTCGACAAAATCGTCCATCAGAGTAGTTAATTCGATTAACCATGGAACGTTTTCGCACCACGTTTACTCTAATCGATAACTCTCATCCCCAGAGACGCCGCACGGTGCGTACAGAAGAAGCTATTGCTACTGTAGAGCATAGCATCGAGGAAGACCCGAATGAGTCTATCAGTCCATCCGCCATCGAGCACAGGAATTGGATCTGTGTCCATCCACTTTATGGAAGATTTTGCAGAAGGATCTTAGTTTGCGTGCTTACAAAATTCAACTTGTGCAAGAACTGAAGCCAAACGATCATCAAGCAAGGCGTAGATTTGTTGAATGGGCCCAAAACGAGATTGCCGTTCTTCCCGATTTTCATAAGCGAATTTTGTTTACCGATGAAGCGCTCTTCTGGTTGAATGCCTACGTCAATAAACAAAACTGCCGCATTTGGAGTGGCGCTAATCCTCAAGTCTATGTCCACCGTTACATCCAGAAAAACTGACTGTTCGGTGCACTTTATGGGCTGGGGGAATCATTGGTCCGTACTTCTTCAAAAACGATGATGGCCAGAACGTTACAGTCAATGGTGATCGGTATAGAGCCATGATTACTAACTTTTTCATTCCTGAATTGAACAATCATGATGTCCAGGAGCTGTGGTTCCAACAAGACGGCGCAACATGTCACACAGCTCGTGCTAGAATCGATTTATTGAAAGACACGTTTGGAGACCGCCTAATTTCACGTTTATATATATATAATATAAATTAAAATGGATGTTCCTGTCATACAGCTGTGTGTAGTTTATATTAATTTTGACGAATGTACCATGTATCCAGCATTCACCAGGTTACTGGGTGTTTCCCTCAACCAAAGCATTAATAACATTTAGCAACAACCTCACATACGACTGTAAGTTAATTTATAATCATTTTGCACAATAGTTACTACTTCTTCTCAATGGTATTGCAGCTCCTGATAAAGATGGCAAAGTACATTGAAAGCTCTTTGCTTGAATTTTGTCGAAGTACCCAACAAAAGGCGGAAGCTTTATTTTTCACCTAACTGGTCTAAACGACAATGACCACGTCTCAAGTTATATATATATATATATATATATATATATAATGACTAATTTTCACGACTGACATTAAATTTTGGTGTTGACGTTGACACATTTAAATCGACATGATGTGACATTACGTTATAAACGAAAATCCGATCCCCGTTTGTATGAGGACTTTCTTTTGTTATGTCGGTCAACAATAATATAGTAAGCACATGCGGGCATCATTCATCTTAATGAGTAGGTGGAGGCTGGACACATTATTATGCAACTGGATGTATTCGTGTTAAGTATTTTCCACTGTCTGACTGTCGGGTTTAAATATAGACAGGCTTGCACCGATGTTACGGCTTAAGAATGTGGCGATGAAAGATATACTATATGCTCTTTTCATAAATGAACACTCATCCGCGGGAGAAAACGTATGCAGGTTGAAAATATAAAAAATATTTCGTGTCACTGGTATTAGAACCTACATGTATCCCATACCATGCTCACAACAATATGGAGAAGTATTTATTCGCTACACCACTTTTTCCATCTTCAAATTGTTACCTATATCAAAAAAAAACAAGAGACATGTAACTAAATCTCGATTCGAATGGCAAAAAATCGCATGATAGATGAATTATTACATGGGACTGATACTGCGCATAAAACCAGGAATGTTTCAATTTTCCATGATCTGTCATTGTAACATAAAAATACTTTTTCTAAATATTATCACGTAAACATAATCAAATTACGTCGTAAAATGATCCTATACTCGAAAATGATCATGTGATTGAAAATGATTCTATCTTTGCGGGACAACAATAAAAAATGCTTTAAAAAGAACTAAAAAGTTTAGAATTTTGCTATTAATCTACGCTTCTTTGTACATCAAGACACCTTTTTAAAAAACAGTTTTCTTCGAAAAGAACGGACAACAGTGAACTGGGATTAGCAACTTTTATAATTTTATTAGCAGCGCTCTATCTATACCATACACATATTTAGTATTGCGATAACACCACCAGTGGCCTTTTCTAAGGAGAAAAGATAAGAATGATTTTTTGCGTATGGCCTGGATTCGCATAATATTGTCATTTCCATTCCTTACACGGACTGTACGCGTAGATACGCATAATATTAAATTCGCAGGCTTTTTTAATATGCCACGCATATATTTTCTATAAAATTATACATGCAAATTGCCAAAGACAATTATCCGGCAGGCATGAATAACGTAACCAGATCATAAATCAGAACACCCAGAATTTAGAAACCTGCCAAGTATACATTATTTGAGGAACATCCTACCAAAATTCTAATTTATATTTTTTTCTAGGTCATGTGTCATCACAAAGGGGAAATCAAAAAGTTCTAAAAAACTAGGTGCAACAGGAACAACCGCAGCACAGCCTTGTAAGCTTTACAGCCTTTTAAGGGTCAAATTTCAACAGCGCAAATATTAATTGCATTTTTATAAAAATAAGATTTAAAGCGTTTTTTTCCGTAGAACCCTGATCCTGTTAATGCTAATGCCTAGCTTTACTTATAACTCAAAAAATGAATTTATGATGGTCGTATGTTTTTACATAGGAATAGAGGTAGGGTTACTGGGGAGGGAACCAGTTATATAGCGAGAGCCCCTCGTATATCTTCCTAATAGCTATAATTATATCTTATCTTAGTAAACAACCCTATGTTATATATTGATGGTTGTGCCCTTCAGGCATCAGTTTAATCATATTACTCTTGCATTGAACTCACTTAGGTTAGGTTTGCTAACATATCGTTGTTAGTCTAAACATTATATTTATAGTAGAATAAAGTATCAAATCGCTTGTAAGTCGTTTTTAAAAACGCGATTCCGCGACGCGATACCATCATTATCAGAACTCAGCAGAGGACTTCCAGGCTGATTTCAATCACTAACTTCTGGAACCGACGAGACCAGGAAGATCAGGAGAAGCCCAAGGACGAAGATCGACGCCAGAGTGCTGTGTCTTCAAAGTCTGAAGGTAATTCAAGTCGAATTTTCCTTGTCTCTCCTCTCACCTTCTTTTTTAATTTAAGATTTTTGGTGCAGTTTTGTAAAATTTAGATTTTGCTGAAGATTGCTCAAAACATTAGTATTAAGTTAGTTCTCGTTCAAGAGCTACATTTTTGAAGAGAACTTAATTTTGGTAAATTTGTCGAGAGCTACATTTTCGATTTAGATTAGTTACTATTTTTTTAAATTTTTGCCGGTTGCAAAATTATTAATTTTAAGGAAATTTTCACATTAAAATAAGGCTTAGGTAGAATCTCATTAAATTTTATTACATTCATATTCACTTGGTATTTTCACATTTTTCATACTTTTACATTTTTAATTTTTACACATTTTACATTTTTTATAGACCATAACTTTATGCAAGATTCTAATTCGGCTCTAGATACTATTACAAACTTATTAGAAAACATGTCTCTTAATAACAGTACAATCACCGTTCCAAGCATACACGCCGCAAAAGCTATTGCAGATTTTCTGCCATATTTCGATGGTGATACCCAACAATTGGAATCATTCATCTTTAGATGCGAAACATTTTATAATACTTATGGTAGATCAAACGATGCCAGTTTGAACGATTTCGTCTTTAATGCAATTTGTTCAAAACTAAAAAGTAACGTTTACAACTTTTTAATGTGTAGACCAGATCTCATTTCTTGGCCTCTAATTAAAAATGCACTCAGAGAGCATTTCGGTGACAAAATTGACAGACAAACCCTTACGAGAGAATTTCTGCAATTTTCAAAATATAGAAATGAAACCATTTTGGAATTTTTAGGAAGATTAAAATTAATTAAATCAAGAGTTGAAGTTAAAATCCAAACAGATCCTTCACTCACCCCTGATCAGAAAGTTTTACTTATCAGCCAAAATGAATTGAATGCACTAGACGTATTGACCGCAAATTGTGACGATAGACTTAGACTTCTGTTAGACATTCAACAGCCCTCCGACTTATCAGATGCGACCAACGTTGTTACTAAACATTTCTACAATGAGATGAGAATAGATGCACTGACAAAAAGACAGAATTTCGGACATCCTAGCCACTTTCAATCACATTCACATAAACCTAGACGTTACAATTATAATAACTCATCACGCCAAAATTATTACCCATCTCAAAGATACAACCCTTCATACACTCAACCTAATACCACACATATTAATTATCAACAACCACCAGCCATACATGAACAATTTCCTTCTCAGGAGTTTCACGCTCAATATTCACCACAAAATCATTTTACTCAGACACATCAACCTTCCTTCAATGAAAGTAGACAATTTCCATCTCAACCTATTCCATTACCAAAACCCCTTCCAATTAAACAAAACTTCCCGACAAACAGACAGGTATTCGGACCACCTCAGTCCCAACGCTCAACAAATGTTTTTCGCCCCAAAAACTCATATAAACCAGCACATAATCCAGAACCTATGGACACGTCTTCAAGACAATCAAACAGACAAAACCATAATCAGTTTAAACCTTCCGGACCCCGAAACTTCATTTCACAAGAAGTATATCATGCTGAAGAGCCTGAAGTACACTCTCATTCTTCGCAACATACTTATCAATATCCTTCTCAATATCCTTCCCAAAATTTTCCTCAGTATGACCAAGATGACCAAGATGAACCTTACAATAATCAAGAATTATATTCTGAGAATCACAATTATTATCCAAATAACTCTCAAAATCAACATTTTCGAAAAGGATCCTTCGACAGATTTAAGATAGACCTGAACAATATCAATCTAGCCAACTCTCTCCCATATATCCAACTCCGAAAAATCCCAGTAAAATTACTCATAGATACAGGTTGCCACGGTTCCCTCCTTAGACCTTACATCGCCGAAAAGTTTTTCCCAGATCAAATTTTCCATTACAATACGCCCATTTCCACTTGCGCAGGCACAAAGACCAGTCAGTTTAAAGCCTCTATCCCACTACTTGAAGAATTAGGTATTCCCGATGAATTCGAATTTATTCTTTATCCATTTCATGAATACTTCGACGGAATCATTGGAATCCGAGATTTGAGAAAATTAGGATTAACAGTAGATCTCGAAAATCAATTACTCAGAAACCCTACTCTTCAAATCCCATTTCAATTTCGGACTGCTTTTGACATCCAAAAAATAGAAATTCACCCCCTTGACCTACTGACAGACAATCTTTCAACTTTAGGAAACTTTTACAGCTCAGAACCTAACGACATTCTTAACGACGTTTTCCCAAGTCACCCAGAGACCCTACCCACCTTACCAAATGACTTTGGAGACATTTTAGAGACTTTCGATAATCACCAATCTCCGGATGACGATAGTAATACCAATCTTCATCATCAATCATCATCCAATCCTAAACCAAAAATTAAAGTTCTCCAAAACATTCTTATCCGTCCCTCAGAAAAAGTCCGCTCAGACAGTGAGACAGTTCATAGTTCTTTTGAAAATCCGATAATAGAAATCCCATATACAGACAAAGTATTAAACATCCATCAGAACCAAGTTATTTTAGGCATATCACCCTGTAAATTATTTCAATGCCACTTTGAGAAAATTTTCAAAAAGAAAAGGCATACATTTTTAGTTAGGAAAGATTTATTAGATGTAAGCAAAATAAATGAACTAGAAGAAATTTTCGCTAAGCTAATTAAAGAGTATATCAGACCTAATCAACACTACTGCGTATATTTTAAGAATTTAGATTTAGAAAAACCATTCATTAATTTTTTACAAAAGTATTTTCAAAATAAAGCATTTACAATGGTTATAAGTAGGAAAATGCTAGAAGACGTAGTCGATATTGATGAACAAAATAATAAAATTAAATTATATCATGAAACCAAAACTAGCCATAGAGGTATAAACGAAAATATTTTAGCGATTAAGAAGAATTTTTATTCGCCTAATTTAGATGTAGACGTTAGAAATTACGTAAATTCCTGCGATATATGTCAGAAATCGAAATACGAAAGGCATCCCAATAGGTTAATCTTTAAACCAACTCCCATAGGATCTAAACCATTTGAACATTTATATATAGATTCTTTTAAAATTTCAAATCAATATTTTGTAACAGTTACAGATAGTTTTTCAAAGTTTTCACAGGCATTCCCAGTTAGTTCATTAAATGCAATCGAGACAACTAGTACTATGATCCAATTCTTTTCATTTTTTGGCATTCCTCATAAAATCACATGCGATAATGGTACCGAATGGAAAAATAATATTTTCCAAGATCTTTGTAGTATGTACGACATCTCTCTTCATTATACAACAGCATATAATCCCAATAGTAATAGTCCAGTGGAGAGATTTCATTCCACTATTATAGAAACAATAAGAACCTTAAGAGAGGAAAAACCTCACCAAAATATTAGAGATCTCATGCATTATGCAATTTTATCATACAACAAAAGCATTCATTCTTCAACTGACTTTACCCCTTTTCAAATTGCTAAAGGACAGCTAGATTTTAGAAATCCCTTCGAGACAACGACGAACGAACAGATTTCCACATATATGACAGAACATTCCCAAATCCTTAAACTTTTGTCTCAACAACTAACAGAAAAGTTAGAACGTAAACAAAGACAAAATTTAGAAAGAGAAAATAGACTTCGAAATCGTTCTCTTTCGCTTGATGTAAAGCAACCACTTTTTTCATTAAATAATTCCAAAACAAAGAAAGACCAACCACTTTACAAAAAACTGACCGACCCTACAGTTACTGGTGACAATAAAGTTATTTCAAAAAATAAAGTTACGCATCAAAGACAGCTCAAACCACAACGAAAAATCATTGTTACAGGTAGACATGACAGGAACAAGGCTGCTACACCTACTCCTGATGATAGCTCTGACGATGACATTCCCCTTTCCCAATTATTCAGTCAAAATCACAAGATTAACAAACCCGATCCTTCCACTTCAGCTAGGTAAAGCATATATCTTAGAAAATCAGCACACATTCTTATATCATATTAATATTAGTACCCCCGTATATATTTTAGATAGCATAGGGCAACATATTTTAAGAACGCAAGTATTTTTGAAACAAAATTCCAATCACTTTTCAATTCAGCTTTTACAAAAATTGGAACATGCTATTTCATTGAAAAATAAAATCGACAATAAATTTGGCATTTTACATAACAAACGCATTAAAAGAGGTTTATTCAATGGTGTTGGTACACTTTCGAAATATTTGTTCGGAACGATGGACTCCGCAGATAAAGAAATCATTAACAATTATTTGGATACTATTAAATCTAATGAGTTGAACTTACAATCTCGCATAAACAAACAACAAACAATATTAAGGGATATTACCACTCATTATGAGATTACTTTTCAGACCATTAGGGATAACGAGAAAATTATTGTTAGTCATCTAAATGACTTGATCAACAACAATAAAATTTTAAGGGAACAAGATAATGTATTATCACTCAGCCTCACTATAGATAAAATTATTTTGGAATTACAAGCTTTATATGAAATAATTAGCAATTTACAAACAGCCTTATCGTTTGCAAGAATACATATTTTACATTCTGCAATTCTAGACACAAATAGTATTTCCTCAATTTTAAATTATTTATCCAAAGATTATAGTAGCGAAAGAATTCCGAAATTTGATCACGTAATTGACTATTATTCGTTATTTACAACCGATGTAACTATTTTCGATAATATCATTTTATTTAAAATTTATGCACCATTAATCTCGAACTCCTTTCATTATTTTAGTGTTTTTCCTGTTTTTCAATTTAACTATACCCTAATCCCAAAATCCCAATACCTTCTTTTCGACTTGAAAAACCACTGGAACACAGACCACCTTTGCACAGAAGTCGCAAATAAATACTTCTGTAAACACGAAGACTTATTAGAAGCATATCCATGCCTAGTAGAAATTATCAAAAATGGAAGAAACACTTGTCCCATAACAAGAATACAGCAATCAAGAACTCTGGTACAGCAGATATCTTCATCTAAAGTAATCATATGTCCAAGAGAGCCCACTACAGTGCATTCGTCATGTCCAGAAGACGGCCTGATAGTTATTTCTCAACCAAGTCTCATAGAACTCCAGCGATGCAGCTTAGAAATCAATCAACACAAGTTCTATCCCTCAGATCGCATCGACCATGAAACAATTTTCCCTTTACCAGCTATAAGCCTGACCAATTTCACGAAGCAGAACCTTGTTGATGTAACAAAATTCAACTTGAAGACAATCCAGAATCTTCAAATATTCCAAGAACAAATCAACGAAGACAGTATCCAGTTCCCAGATCGTCCCATAGAGAAGACAAATCTAATCATATTTTTACTTCTTCTATCAACTTTCATTGGTTACATCATTTACCAAATTTTAAAGAAGCTAAGAGAAGCAAGAAGACGTAGAGAAGAAGAAGCAGTTCCGGATTCGCAAACTTTGGATCCCCCGTTTGCTCATCTTCGGCAGGGAGGAGTTATATAGCGAGAGCCCCTCGTATATCTTCCTAATAGCTATAATTATATCTTATCTTAGTAAACAACCCTATGTTATATATTGATGGTTGTGCCCTTCAGGCATCAGTTTAATCCTATTACTCTTGCATTGAACTCACTTAGGTTAGGTTTGCTAACATATCGTTGTTAGTCTAAACATTATATTTATAGTAGAATAAAGTATCAAATCGCTTGTAAGTCGTTTTTAAAAACGCGATTCCGCGACGCGATACCATCATTAACCTTAATATATCTATACTTACCTTATAACTGACAAACGCTTTAGAATGATATCTCCACTTACCTGAAACAAAGAATAATATTAAAAAATTAAGCTTCCAAATTCATAACCGTTTTATACTTATGAGAGTAAAACACGTTTACCAAGATTAAAAATACAAAAAATTTTAAAATTGTTTGCTGGACTGTGACAGTTTGTGTAAGTTGCGGGCTCACATGTTTTCACAGAATTAAACTGATGTTTTTTATATGGGTTGTTATAGGTATGAGCAAGCCTACGATATGTTTGCCTTCAAAATTTCAGTCTGTAGTCAGGATGAAAGTGCATACAAGTGGACTTGACATACGTTTTTTTTTTTGACGGTTCTGCCATTAAATTCTTATTTTTACTGTTATTTTTTAAAAGTGCGAGTAATTGCTGATTGTGTTAGCCAATGTTAGGATACGGTACTTGCATAATTTGCAATCAGCGGCACAAGCCTAATGAAGGTAGATCTTTCCACTATTCTGTTGATACAACGTTGTCACGTTGGTAGGCAATGGTAGTCAAATGTGTGAACAGTATAAAATTTTAGCGGCAACCAATGCTAACCGTATAGGCTTCACTCCACAATTATTAGACAGCAATGCGGAAAAAACATTGAACGGAGATTATTGCCCTGAAAGAAAGTGTTTGAGCGAAAAGAAAAACCTGAATGGCGGCAAATAGTCCGAATTACGTGAATGATAAAATCTAAACCCGAGCAACCTGTAATTGTTCTTTTTTACCAATTCAGATCCGAAGGATCCATGAGTTTTTCAAGCTGGCACGAATTTTATAAGTAACGGACATATTAAACGTGATTTGTCACGGTTAAAGTTCTATTAGGGCGTTTTTTGGTCGTTTAAGCTTCTACTGAAAAACAGTGATTAACACATTTTTATACAGGAAAAATCCTGACTTAATAAGGGATTATACTGAAATGTAAATGTTATTATAGCTGGCGTACTATGGTCTAAATATTGATCAAACTAAAAAAAATACTAGTAAATAAATTTCAACAAAATTTATTATATATTTTTGAGTCATAGGGAGATTTCAGTATATATGTATATTAATCCGTAGAGTCAATTTCCAGGATTCCAAACTGAAGAGCGCGGGGGACGGGGGGTTTGTCAGCAATTTTGCATGCTTAAAATCAGGCTCGGGGTCCCTGACTGGCAGGCCCGCCCGTTATGTATAACGGATATTTCGTGATACGAAGGATCCCGAACTGTTGTTCTTCCAGATAAAATGAGTCCTATAACGTGCAAAGCTTCTGATATCGAAATAAGCTAGCGCAAAAAGCCATGTATCACCAAAATTGACCATTGCGGAGGATTCATAGCAGCTAATTGTTGGAACTGTAACGATCTCAGTTCGCGTGTAATAGCCCAGTCATCATGTGACCGCTAGATAGCTGACGGTTGTTTAATTTGTATACCACATCTACTATACAGCCAGATTCGTTAGCCGTCTAGTGGTCACATGGTGACTGAGCTATTAAACGCGAACTAAAATCTTTACAGTTCCAACAAAGGGATCCTATGCTATGCTATGGTCTGGTGATAGATGGCGCTTTGCGCTGTTTTATTTCGATAGACCGTACCTTCTGGATAGAGGATAGTTTGCTTTCGAACGTTGTCCCAGAGATGAGAGACCAAGCCTAGACCATGATGATGAGTAGCCAAAAAGCACGAAACAGCTGTTCATGGTTGTCCATGTTTAGCTTCTTGTATGTGACAAAATAAAATCACGACATAATTATTTACCACTACTTGGAAACCAGACGTGTTTTTTCAAAGATATCATCTATATTCTTGTGTTGTAGACACAGCAATGATCCAATGATAATGACCGTTTCGAATTTCAGTGTTCCGAGTGAAGTAATACCGTCGTTTCTATGCAAGACTCGGCGCGGTGGTCTGAAGGTCTAGGTTTTTAAACTTTTTGGAAAGCAGACGGACCGTGACCGTGACTCTTTACATTTTATTAACGGAAATCATTTATTTTACATAATTAGCTACGGTAGGCGCTTAAAAATGCACTTGGATACGATAATTGTCTATAAAGGTAACGGTGCATTTAAAGGTTTCGTTTGTATGCAATACAGGTATTTATCCACTACTTGGATTATTAATATAACTTTGCAGGAAATAAGTGAGGTACAACTTATAATTCTAAAATATGTATAAGCAATAATTACATTGTAGTCTTGAAGTTCAAGTGCATTTAATGTTAACATCACAAAAATCGAAATGATTGTCATGTTTTGAGCCTTATTTGACTATTTTTTAAATAGTCAAATGCTGTTGTCGAATTATTGCATAAAACTGTTCAGTCACCAAAGTTTTGGGCTGTTCAAATTTGGATTGAAATCGACAATCGTATGCTTACTATAAAAAATTGGCAAACACAATTAAACGTTTAAAGTACATATGAAAGATAATTATAAGTAGCAAGGGTTCATTATCACCGTGGATAATTACGTTGGTATGCCATTCTGTAAAGAAAAATCAATGTCCATTCATCACTTGCTTTGTAACAACTTGAGGTGTGTACAAATGACATTAAATACTCATTTACTCGAAATAATGAATAACAGCATTGCAACGGTACATGTTGTATATGACGTGTTGTTGGTTGTGCATTAAGCATATCTTTATGCAACATATTAACGAGATCAGTTTAACTATTTTAGCTACAAAAATAAACACGGTTGCGAAACAACACACACATTAATACGATACAATGTTGTGGAGTTTGCGTTGGTGTAAACATAATCTGACGTATCATTTAATTGATTGGTTGTTTGAATTAAGGTAAAACAGGAAATCATATATTATATACAATTCTTAATCATTTTTGTTCGGTTCCAAAAAGCAAAATTATTTTCACAGTGACTGAAATTCTGTCAATGTAAAAGCCAAATGGCATTTACGGAATTCCGGGAGTGACAGGGCTTTTATCACAGACTTTATTCTACTACAGGATTGGTTAGTAGAGAAGATACTGAACAATCGGGTCCACTAAAACTACATCAGTTGACTCGTACTTATAAAATAGAGGTCATAGAACTATGAAGAGCTTCAGTATAATGAAGATCCCAGACAGTAACGAGCGAAGAGTGGGAGTGCCTTATAAATCTATTTAATTTTTTTTGAAGTTGTGATACGTAATGGAGGTATATAGCAACAACCCCTCGTAGTTTGAAGGTTTCTGTATACGTGGGTCTCAGACTGGACGGATGGTAATAGTCCTTGCAGATTCTGTGGTTATGACACAATCACCAGCACCGCTGCCGAACAGTGACCTGGTTTAGCCGAAGGTCGCCTCTCTCGACTTCCCGTCTCGGAGATGCCGCCATACGCGCAGTTGCCAAACCGTCAAAACAGCAAATGTAACCTTAATCTGGTGCTATCCGATTCAGAATCCTCATAACATCTTTTAACAGCTGCGACAACAATGATTTTCAATGTCATCTATTAAACATTACTGATATTACACAATTTTCTGAACTCTTAAATGTTAATTTATATTAAGCGGTTATTTTCTGAACAGGTCATTCTAAATTGATATGTTCCACTATTGTTTTCATTAAAAATGAAACAAAATGCATAAATGTTGATGTAGAATTCAGGTCACTTGACCAAACAAAAAAAATGTCTTCTTTTCTAAGGATGCACCGACTATGTACCAGTTTTTCTGAGCTGAGTACTCGGTGACTTAGTCTGCGTTTCTTCAGCTACTGTTGAGGATATTAAGAATATGTATATTTGCGTTTCTAATACATGCAGTTCAGACAATTTTTGTGAAGCTTCGTAGATTAGTGCATTTACTGTATTTTCAGAAGTTTTGTTTTTTAATGATTGAGTCTTGCAGTAGTTACCCTTCCCAGAACGAATAAAGCACATTAATTTGTAAAATACTTTAAAGGTATGTACTCGATATCTTGAACCAACTTTTTTGTTGACCATTTAAATCCTGGTTTCTTCACTGTCTTTGGGAGGAGATTAGAAAGCGAGGCCAAATCATATTTGGAAAGGACCGACTTTAAATTATTATCCTTACGTAAGAGAAATAGTTTTCTTTGCAGAAAAACGGGATACTTGTTCTTCACATTACTTTTCGGCTTATGCCGCAATTAGTACACCATGTTTTGAATTTTTTTTTCTTTGTTGTTCATATGAAAAGTGAAAGGGCAAATAATGAATGAAAAAATACAATACTTTAATGTGGTTTCAGTTTAAAATGCTTTAGTAACTGCCCGATGGACTTGCCATGTTTCTTTATAAGAAAAACGTAGTAGTAACACCTTAATCAAAAATAAGCGACGCAAATACCGCAAATACAATAACTTACTAGTACAGACTGTCGACATTTACTGAAACTCATCCAAATTATGCAACTGTTTCTGGCAAAAATTTGCTGTACCTTTTGATTATTTTTTGATGGTGCGTACATTTTTTGCTCAGATTTTGCACATCATATCTGCAATTCTTTGATTTAGAAAAGTTGTTGATCTTTCTGTAAGACCGAGTAATTACCCGGCCGACTAATTTATTACTTTGCAAAACCGTGATCAGTAAAATGGGCCGAATATGACGAGCAGCGGGGACAAACCGAGTACTCGATGCATCCATAATCTTTCTTAACAAAATGTCAAGATTATACAACTGATTCTAAATTATTGATATATCGTAAAACAAGGAAATTCAGTCAGTAAGATCAAACCAGTCAACATTATTTCATGATTAAATATTCTCAAAAATTTACGAGTCAAGTCATTCCATCTATGCAGGTGCGATTAATTTGATTATGCTCAACCAAGCAGACTAAACAAAAATTGGTTGATTTCCAAAGATTTTCCGAGGTCATCAGAACTGGTACGTGCGGACAAAGAAACGTTTTCCTCTAATATTTATAAACACCGTGGAATTGGCAACTGCTCCGTAAATCATCGTTGTTTTAAGCATCAGTCTGACCCAATCTAATCTACTTTTACAATACACAAAATAACAATAAACAAAATTTAATTTAAATAG